GGGACCAAAGGACCAAGGGACCACATTACCAGAGGACCCGCAGACCACAAGGCCAGGAGAGCAGCAGAAGAGGCCTATCAAGGAATATTTATTTTTTGATTCGCTTTTTATTTTTTTTTGATCCTGTTTTTATTTTTTTGTTGATGCTCTTTTTATTTTTTTTTTGATACCTATGCCATGCCAGGAGCCCCTAGTAGCGATGCCCTTTGCTACTAGTAGCTTCTTCCAAACACTGATTCCTTCATCCATTTCTTTGCTTCCGAGACCTCCCTTCCTGCAGCCCCCGCTACTCTCTTAACCTCCTTTGTGCGCCCCGCCAATTGGTGCGTCATGGCGTATGAGACAATCCACAAGGCCTTGCTGTCTCTCCCGATTGACGCTACTAGGGGCTCCTGGCCTTACTACTAGGAGCAAGGGCCTTACTACTAGTAACAAGAAGAAAGTAAAGAATTAAAAGTAAATAGAATTATGAATTAAGTTTAATTAGAATAATTCTTAGCAAAGGAATCTACTCGGACCTTTTCGATTCGCGTCCTTCCGTCTCCCGATGACAGGTGCGCTGCTCTTAAGTTCCTTTTGCTTGACGATCTCCTTCACCTCCCTCTTCCGGTGCTGCAACTTTCCCGTCATCCCCTTCATACTTCATCCTACTTGTAGCAAATAGCTACTAGTAGCAAGGCACCTTACTACTGGTAACAAGAAGCTACTAGTGGCAAGGCACCTCTTTACTACTAGCAAATAGTTAAGTACTATGAAAACACCTTTTGATAAAGAGGATCCCTATGTAAACTAGGCCAATAGGCTTTCGCGCGCAAGCTCCTTGCCATCATGGAGTGTGTCTGACCTGCATGCCCTCGAGCCCTATGACCTCTTGCACGGGAAGGACAATCCGGAGGAACAAGAGGATAGATTCTTACACGACACTCTAATTAAATTCTTATTAAACTTCTTTATTGTTTCTAATAGCTTCTTGTTCCTAGTAGTAAGGCCAGGAGCCCCTAGTAGCGTCCTTGCCCCTAGTAGCGATGCCCCAACACTTGCTCTGGATGCATCTTCCAACTCCTCCTCTTCCAAGGAAAATATAATCTAAATGAAGGACGCCAGCTTCTTCGTGGAAACAATACAACACGGTGGTGATGGGATTGGACTACTACCTACCGATCCATACCACCCCCGTCGCTGCCCGTCGCTCTCACATTTGCAATCTACGCAGTCTATAGAAATATATTCAAACAATTTCTTCGAAACTTTCTGCAAGACTTTCTCCTAGTACCGGAGTCAAACCTTGAAGCCTGAGCTACATCGGCAAGCGGCTTAAAAGGTCACCTGGCTCAGCTTAGCTTCAGCTTAGCTGGTAGTATCTGGCTTAGTGGTGGTTTGCACCTGAGATCGCGTGGACAGCTCCAGTCTCAAAGATGGCATGTTCCGCTTTCCGGTTTCGCATGTGAACACGAGATCCTTCAGGTCGGTCCAAGAGTAGCCAGTAGGCGGAAACCCGGGAACGTCATCCCGTCTGCTACTAGTTAAAGGAACCAAAAGTGAGCGTTGGCAACTTGCAACGTCTCAAATCGCCCTGCCAAGCCCGATGTTGCATGCTTTCTTCAAATCTGCCCCCATCAAGTTACACGCTGCACAGACAATTCTTGTCGTCTTGTTCTGTTGTATAAATTGCGCATACTATGAAACAACTTGGTTATGTGTAGAGACTTCGCTGTCAACCCAATACCATAAACTGTCAAACAGGCACATAGCAACGGGCCATTGAAGGGCACCTGGCCTTCTCATTGATCAGAAGAGCAATTGTGAGGAGGTGCGCTGGGCTCGCACTTGTATCGAAGGACGGCCACAATTGACGCTCCAAGAAGCTATTGAATTCCAATGTGGTTACCTGCAGCAGCTCCAGACACTCTTCACTAAAATGATTATGCGCCAAGACAAAAACCCATAATCAAGCTTCAATGTGATGTCGTTTATCCTTTCCCTGTGGTTTTTGAAGGATGGCACAAGGAAACATAGCGACACCCCGCGCAACGACAATATCGTTTTCGAATAACTTATCCGGGCTACTACTATCAGGGGCAGAAACCAACATCGTCCGAACGCCAAAAACAATGAAGGTTGACATGGTTGACATCAGTCGTGACCAGTGTTTTTTGGAAGTATTCACACACAGCCATAAGCATCGCTATTAGGTTGGAGGCCATCACCATTGCTAGGATGGAGGCCGATAGCTATTAGGTTGGAGGCCATCGCCATTAGGTTGGAGGCCATCGCTATTAGGTTGGAGGCCATCGCTATTAGGCTGGA